TGAATAATAATATATATATATATATATATATATATATATATATATATATATTCCTAAATATATGCAAGCATATGCTTATATGTATTATGCATATATAACATACAAAATATATAATATGTAAATATGATTTTTTTATATGTAATTTTTAATATGTAATCTATGATTTTTTCTTCAAAATTTCGTTCTTAAGTACATATATTATATTGATATCAAACGAAATAAAATTAAAATATTTTTATAATGTTCGTAAAATATAATTCAACATAATGCAACATGTAGTATATATACAAACATTATGATATAAGATCATTATTTGACAAATTAGAATCTTTTGATTAATATGCTTGTATTCATTTGTTACTTCGTTGTATCTTTTCTAGGAGATTTATCTTTACCATACATAGAATCTAAGAGTAATCCCGAAAATACTATTAATGTGCCCATCCACTGTTTAGAAGTCAAACTATTACCAAAAATAAGTATTGAACCTAAAACTGTAAAGAATTTTCTAGTTGTAGTTATAATGGAACATGGTAATGGACCAAATTCTGCAACAGTAAGAAATATAAAATATTGTCCAAATGCTCCTGCTATAGAAAAAGTAGCTATGTGCCATATAGTAGAAGGATATTTGTGTAAGAATTGAACAAATTCCAAAAGTTCTCCTGAAGCTATAATGACGATGCCACTAAAGATTACAGACCAGCCATTCATATTCAACATCATATGGCCAGATTTAGAATTATGTTCAGATTTCATTCTTTCTTGTACAGCACTAGTTAAACCATCCATTGTTAATGAAAGTAATAACAATAATTCTCCAATGATTGTTTGTCCCTCTGAATGCTTTTTTAATGGATTGACATCTTTATACATAAACAAAGCTACTCCGATGACTACCAAGAAGACAAACAAATATTTTCTCACTGGATAAACCTGTAAAATAATATAATAAATTTTTATGAAATATAAAATATACAACTTGTGGCAAATCAAATTTATAATATATATATAATATAATATTTATGAATAATATTTTTAATATAAGTACATATAAATTTTAAATATTAAAAAAAACAATAGATATTAATAGAAAAATAACTAAAAATTAATATATAATAACAATAACAACAACAACAATAATAATAATAATTAAAAATTATATATGTACAAATTCTGAAAATTCTTTTTTTATATAAATATTAAAATAAAATCAAAAGAAATATGAAAAGAATTGCAATGAATAGCAATATAATATATAATAAAAAAAAAATACCTTATTTCCTAATAATACACCAAGTATCATTACAGGAATTGGTTTGCCAGCTTTTCCAATAACTTGTGTTGGATAACTAACAAATTGTAATGCCATATTACTACATACCATAGCAAGCAAATAAGTTAAGGCAGAAAGCGCATAATAAGTTTTTGGAGTAGTATCTTCGTCCTGCTTCATGATTGTTAATAAACTAGTCTTGGCAAATAAATAATTAATTAAACATTGGAAGAAAACTAAAGAAAACATATACGTAAATTTTTCACTATTTTTTTCATCTCCATATTGTCCCCGTGTGATCTTTTCTTGTAACATACCAAAATGAAAATAACATACAAAAATGCCGAGAGCACAAAACAGAAGTTTGAACTGTTTCGTAGAAGTCATTGTACTTATATATGTATTAATATATTAGAATAATCATAAGTTCTATGATATAATTATTATTTTGATCATGAACCAATGTCACGATGAAAAGAAAAATGTTGGAGACATTCTACATACATAGATTACAAATAAATAATACGTGGCATTTAACTATAGGTTATGTTTTAAATTGTACTTAAATTATACATACATGTGTATATACATATGAAAAGCTAATATCAAGTATCAAAAAATCGATATCGATGAACTATCGATTTCTTGAAGAAAATAATTAGAAATATTTATATATATACTTACATAATATTTTTCTATAAATAATATTTCAGAATATATACTATGTATTTAATAATAAGATTTATAAAAAGAGAAAAAATTATTATTTATTTTAGGATATCATTTTGATCACATAAATTGACATTTGGTTGATATTTAATTTGAAACTAAAACTGCTACTAAAATTTTGTGAATGTTTTTTATATATAGTTTTATAAATTTCATTATTTATAAATTTCTGATAAAATCCAAAATGATTTTTTATTTTAAATATCAGAATATATTTAATAATTCAATATTTCAAAATTATTTGCATAAAATTTTTTCATTTCTAGGATTTTTATGAATTGCATAATGTTATGTTGAATTTTTATCCAATCCACTTGGAGAATATAAATACTATATACCTGCCAAATTTATATTATTTTTCAATTAAAGAATTCAGTTAAAAATTATTTATGCATTTATTTATAAATTTTAATGTATATTAAAATTAGATTAATATAGTTTATAATTGTGTTATATAAATTTGTATATAAATTTCTGTATGTTCTATATATATATATTACTTTCATTACATTATAAGTTATATTATATAATTTGTATATATTAAGAAGAAAATTATATTTGCAAAATTCTCACTTTTAATTTTATAAAATAAAAGATTTTAAAAAAATATTATAATATAGATTTGTATTTAAAAACTTATATTTTTTTAAATATTAACATTAATACCTGAACAATATGAAAAATTAGATTCAAATTGATTGTTTTCATGTGAACTTGATTTCAATTAACAATATTAATATGTAAATTTAGGGCAAAATTCAAATTAATTATATATAAATACATAATAATAACAATGAATACATTAATTCATGACGAAAGTAATACTAACAAAAAGAAAATTAAAATTCAATGGACAGAAAATTCTTTATTGAAGATTCCAAACTAAATTATCATTGTTATCTAATTAAAAATTCAGTAAATGCCTTTAAGTGCTTTAAAGTATTATTGCTACTTGCTATTTCGAAAAAAATGATAAAGAATGTCTTCTGATTTTTTCAACTTAAATTTCTTTTATGTATTTTTTCTTGTATATTCTATATTTTGACATTCGAACGTAATAATGAAACGTTTTTATTCTTACTGATTTATAAAGAAATTGATGAGTTAATATATCCATCCATGATTGATTGATTGATATATCTTTCGCAAATGGAATAGAATCTATTATTGGAACACAGAAATGAACATCAAAAAATTCTGAGAGATTTTAAAAAAAAAATTTTTTATGAAATATTTTTGTATTTTGACTACATTTCAACAAACATCTATAATAAAAATAATCTTGTGATTAATAAAAATTATTTAATTTTCGTGCATTTTGTCGAGTATTCCATAACCATTGCATACATCAATAGATAATATACATCAAATAGTTACTTCTTTGAGCTAAATACAACATATAGTTAAAATATAGTTGAAATTTAATTTTCCTTTTCCATATTTAGTTATCAATTCTTTGAAATTATTATTACTATTACTATTATTAAAGACAAAGTTGCCAGACACATTTTAAATTTATAGAATTTGATCACATAATTAAAAATAAAATAAAAAGGAAAAAAATTAACTGAGGAGAGACTAAAATGATACAATTATTATGCCATCTGAGATGTATATGTTTTCATATGATAAATTATGATTTTTCGATCATAATATTAAATATCATGATTTTGTCATAACATTAAATTTAATATCACATAAAAATCATGATAATGAAAGTTATAATACTTAATTTCACATGAAAACGCTCCTTAATATATATAACATGATTATATTACATAGTAACCACATTCTATTGACCTTTTTTCAATTAGTTTTTTTTAAATAATCCAATAAAAATATACAAATATTGCAAAAAGTCTGCATTTAATTTTGTATTAGATATATTAGAAATCGATTCATATATAGAAATATATATTTCAGTATGTGTCATTTTAAAAATATGGATGAATACACATAATTACATATACATATATTTATCATGTATATTTAAATATATATGTATTTATACTCCTTTTAATTCATGTTTTTAATTTTTAAAATATTGATATTAATTTAAATTAAATTTATATTTTCTCAAATTTTAATTAATGTTACCTCTGAAAAATATTTCTCAACTATTGAGAATATAGTTATTCCCAATAAATTATTACCGAATAATAAACATATATAAATATATTAATTTTTATATCAAAAAAAAAGAATTTATTGAATGAATTTTGTTAATGAAAATAATATATTAATATTTATTAATTATTTATATTTATTATTAATTAATATTTATCAATAATTTTGAAAATATAATTTCAAATTATAAGTTAATATTTAATTAAAATAATTATAAATTAAAAAGAATGAGTTCAAAATCATAATCTTTAATATCTTTTTTATTTAAAAAAGATTTTAGATAAGAATTTGAAAATTGATATTGCAACGAAATATTTTCATATTAATATATATATATATATATAAGTGAATATGTGAATTATGAAGATATTAAGTGACATTTTATTGTACTATTCATTGCATAGTATGCTCAAATTGCATTAATGTATGTAGTTCTATGTGACATTCTTTTCTCTATTATATAAAAATTTTAATCTCTGCTATTTTAATTTTTTTATCATATATGTATTTATGTATATATATTTACAATTACTTAAATTTTTCGGCACATAATGAATTTTACTATTAATTAAACATTTGATTATAAATATTTATAATTTATATAAAATATATTTATAATTTTACAATCACTTAACCAATATTTTAATTAATTTAAATTATTTTAAAAAGTTTTTAATAACTTTATTTAATAATCTATTTTAAAATGAAAAATTCAATAAGAATTATAAAAAAGAAATTGATTGTATTGTTTATATTCACAAATATAATAACATCATGTTCTATAGCTGAAAGCTCTGAAATAGATGATTCAAATGAAGAATCTTGTCATTGTAATAGTTGCAGTTTTGACAGACAAACTAATATAAAGAATTATTATAAAAAAGAAATACAAGATTCTTGTTTAGCGAATGATATTCTTCGTGTTTATGAAAAATCTGTGAATTCTATAAATCATTTAAAAAACATGATTAAGATAAAGACGGGTATTTTCGCGATTGGTACAAATAATCCAATTTTTATTGCTGATGGCGAAGGACCAAAACAGCAAATATATTTAAATAGTTTTTACATAGATAAGACGGAAGTAAGTAATCGCGATTTTGCAAAATTTGTTAATGTCACTAAGTATAAAACAGAAGCAGAAAGATTCGGAGATTCATTCGTATTTGGAAGTCTATTAAAACAAAAAAGTCAAGAGAATGTAACGCTTGTTGTTGCTCAAGTTCCTTGGTGGTTACAAGTAAAAAATGCAAATTGGCTACATCCAGAGGGTCCTGAATCAGATATTAAGAGTATGATTCATCTTTTTGATTGCTTGTTACCTAATTGGAAATAGCAACAATTAAAATTGAATAATCCAGATAGAATGGATCATCCTGTTGTTCATGTATCATGGAACGATGCTATTGCCTATTGCAATTGGTTAGGAAAACGATTACCTACTGAAGCAGAATGGGAAGTTGCATGTCGAGGAGGATTGTCAGATAGATTATATCCATGGGGAAATAATTAATTCCAAATGGTCAATACAGGTGAATAAAACTATATATTAAAATTTGATAATTAAAATCAAAATATAATAAAAATAAAATATAATAATATATATATCTAAAAATAATTTTCAGAGCAAATACATGGCAAGGTGATTTCCCAAATAATAATACCAAAGAAGATGGATATGAAGGTACATCACCTGTTAGAGAATTTCCACCAAATAAATATGGATTATATAATATGATAGGAAATGTTTGGGAATGGACATTTGATTGGTGGACAATTGAAATCACAACACGAGGCGGATCTGTTAATCCTGTATATAAGAGTTATTTATATCTAATCTTTTTTTTCTTTTTTTCTATCTTTTCTTCTTTTTTTTTCTCTTTCTTTATTTAAACTATTTGACAACGTTTCTATATTATATGAAACATATTTTCAGACTGGACCAAGTCATGGTACAAACAAAGTAAAAAAGGGTGGTTCCTATCTTTGTCATAAGAGTTATTGTTTTCGATATAGATGTGCTGCACGGAGCCAAAATACTCCTGATACAACAGCTGGAAATCTTGGTTTTAGATGTGCGTTATCAGCTTAATTTTATAAATGAATACTTTTAAATAAATAATTTGAATATTTCTTATTATATATTTTATTACTTTTTTATATTATATAGTATATACACATTGAAATGAAAAAAAAGATTTAGTTTTTAAAAGTAAAATTATTTTTCATACAAATATTTATTACAATCCAAATATTTACTTTATTTTAATTTAATTTTAATTCTATTTAATATATATGTACATATACATATTTATTTAATTTTTAAACTATAAATATAATTCGCGAATTAAGACAAAGATATTGAAGAAAATATATTATTTATGAAGAAAAAAAAATTTTTAAATTTAATGATTTTATACTGCATCAAATATATGCTACAAATAGTAATATATAAATGAGATATTTAATGCAATTTAAATCCAAAATTGAATTGAATTGAATTGAAAGGAATGTAAAGTTTTATTCATCAAGATCATAATTATGTTACAGATATTTATAATATTTCATATTATATTCTTGATTTTGAACATGTTTATTCTTATATGACATAAAAATTATTTATTTTATAATCAACAATTATGAATAATAATTTTTCTTTAAATATTGTTCTTATTATTTTTTTAAATAAATTATAACAAAACAATTACAGATTGAATATATCAATTTCAGTTAAAATTTAATTTTTGCAAAATTATTTTTTCCAAAATATACATTAATGAACACTTTAAGATATAATATATATAATTATATAAATAATTTTTATAAAAATAAAAATTAATAAATAATAGAATAAAATAAAATATGTATTTATAAATTGTAATTAATAAGCTTTTATCTTTTATTATACTTTTATATACTTTTATCTTTTAGTTCAAGACAATTAAAATCGTGTCTATAATATATATATATAATATAAATATATATATATATGGTTAAAAATCAATATGTTCTTATTTTGTCGCTACAAAAAATCATATAGAAATGAAATAATATTTCCACTTTTTCTTATTGTCATGTATGCTATTGTTTATGTATATACTATGTATATAATATTTATATATATTTATATATGTTATTATATAATGTTAATGTAATATGATACTTTTGGCCAATATGTACCAATTTTTTTAACAGATTTCGATTTGTTAAAATCGACAAAAATTCACATTTTTTTTTTAGATTATTTTCCTTCAATTACATATAATTTATTTCGGATGTCTTCGCCTTTTGTCGACATATTTCGTTAAAAGAATTTAAAACATCGGGCGTTGGCTTATGATTATAATAGATGATTATTAAAACGGTAAGTATGATTTTATGTATATATTTGTGAATTAATTGATTTGAATTTTTATTATAAATTATCATTAGAATATCTTTTTTTATATCATCGTAAAATGGAAATAATATGATATATTATTCTCAAAGTGTTAACCTCTTTTGTTACAGTGTAATAAGGAATACTTTCAAAATTTTAATCTGAACAAATGGAACAAAATATATGAAAAAAAATTAAGAAAAAAATTATATGAAATTATAGATAAAGAAAACATATTAATTTTCAAATGAATTACGGAAAGAAATCTCCTAGTATGGGTACACCATCGCTATATTCTCACGTTACTACACGTAGCAGCGCAAATTTAAAATCTTCGCGATCAATGCGAAGCGTTAAAACATGTTGGTATCAAAAACCAATTTTAACAAATGCTTATTACTAGATATTCAAAGAGGTGCTATGTTTACAGCATTATTTTCATTGGTAAATATGCAATTTAAAAATAATATCCAGGTTCTATTTGATATTTTATTTTTGTCATTTGATATTTTATTTTATTTCAGTCATTAGCTATCTTTACTATTTGTACATCAATATTCGATCTTTATTGTCTCTCTCAAGCTACACCAGGTTCAACACATTATGGTTATTATATAATATCCTATGAATTTGTTTACGTGGGTAATCGACATGGTAAAAAAATATATCTTTTCAATAATTTTTTTTAATAAAATTAATACAATGATGAACAAAAATATTTGCACAATAAAATGGAATAATTTCTTTAAAATTGAATTAAAAAAAAATTTTTAAAAAACTTAATTTTTTTTTAGAAGATTAGTTTATTAGATAATGTGTAAAAAAAATAATCACAGAAAAAAATATCACAATTTTTAATTTTCTTATCTAAATTTATAATAAAAATTTAGAACGTACTTTCGTAAATCTAAATATATTAAATATATATACTATAAATTTCATCAAATCGATTAATGCTCCTATATAGATATAATTAAAAGTATAATGAAAATTATAATTTTTTACGACTTTTGATTTATAATTGTAATCTAATGTAAAATAGTTTATTTATTCATTATTCATGAGATAATTCCATATAACTTTTTATTAATAAAAAAATATTGTTATATTCAATAAAAAAATTCTTTTACATATGTTGCTTAGACTTATTTATGCTCAGTCGACAATATATAAATAACATTATCGTCGCAGTTTGACTAAACTATATATATACTGACACCTTCCATGATTTTTCTCTTAATAATTTATTAAGAAAGTTATAATAAAAGTTTTTCCAAAGGAAAATATTTAAAATTATCAAGAATCTTCAGTATACAAATATTTTCATATTTTTGGAACATTTTGTATAATTAGACTGCAGATATTTATAAAAAAGCATATTTTTATAGAAACAAATTATGAAATGAAACCTAAACAAAAATTTATTTTTTTAAATGCATATATATTAAAAATATATTGCATATGTCATTAATATTTATTATTCTTCTGAATTTTTGAATTTTGCTATTTTTTATTGAAATTTCAAATCAACTTATTGTAAATGAAATTACAATCTCATTAAAATTTAATATGACTGATATCATTTTATAATACATTTTATAATATAACTTACACAACATTATAAAATACCAAATAATTATCTAGGAAATGACAACAAATATTGCTCTTGAATCTATACAATTATAATTTATCATATCATATATAAATTATATAAATTATATAATATATAAATTAAGTACAATTTGAAATAACAAATCAATATAATATATATTAATTAACGCTTTAAATTAATGAAAGAAAAAATCAATGAATATTAATTCAAGATTATATTAAATGGAATAGAAGATAATAGTTTTGTAAATAATACAAAATCTGTATAAATAAATGTGAAAAAGAATTGTTGAGAATCCAATAGAAATTGAGAATTGTTTTGGAATAAATTTAATAAATCTAATTATATTGTATAATATCGAGCGATCATTTTCTGCAAATTAATTTTAAGTAATAAATGTTATCAATTATTTGCAACTAATATGAAAAAAATGTTTATATATTATATATTATAATAATAATAATTTATTATAATATGAATTATAATAATATTTAATAATATATAAAGTTACTATTATTTCAACATATTTTAAAAGCATAAATATTTATAATTTATCTAAGTACCTTATATATAGACTATTATTTATGCTTTTAAAATATGCTAATTATGAATGTTTATATATTATGACTTTAAATTTTTATTATATATTATAAATAATATATTATAAATATAGATATAGATTCAAATAAAAAAATCATAATCTTTTTTCTTTACAATTCCAATTAATAGCAATTTTTAAAAAATTTTTTTTACATATTATTTAATTCTTTTATACATTCTCAACTAATTCTTTTAACATTTCAAAAAAATTTAAATTGTTTGATTTAATTTTTAAAATTCCATTTTAAAAAATATGCAAATATTTTTATCTATTACTGTAGAATAAATAATGAATTATTTGTAATATTTTAATTTAATGTTTTATTACAGTACGTAATACTCTAGTTGTGTTTGCTTTGTTCTCTACGCTTAGTGGAATTGCAGTACTTGCAACATCCTTAATGTTAATAGCTGCTTTACGAAAAGAATATGAAAGGAAAATGATACCATGGCTTTACAGTTTTGCAGCTTTCACTGTTTTCAGATTATTTGCTTTTATATTTTATAGTGTAGTAAATGATATGATATTTGCTTATAATATTACAATGTGTATTTTATGGATAATATTCATTTGCTTTTCTATTTACGGATGGTTAATCGTTTATTCTCTATATGTGGAATTATGTGATCTTACAAGATTAGAAGATTTGGCTCATTTGAGAGTAAGTTTTTTTTTTATTTAATGTTGTAATTTTTTTATTTAAATTTTTATTCTTTTTTTTATTTTTTTTTTTTTTTTGTATATCTAAAACTATCTTATTTTTATTTTTTATTGTGTATAATTGACGATTTTTATTTTAGATCGGTACTATGCAATCATTGAATGCATCTACTACACATTCTATCGCAGGTTCTCGTCCAACAACACCACATAGCGCAGTATCGGCACTGCCTGCAAATTAACAATTAAATAATTTTTAAGTTTTATCAAATTTTATTATCATATATTTCATTCCGTTGTCATTTTCACTCTCATCTTTTTTATATTTATCAT